CGTTCTTGCACATCTTGGTTGTTCTCCACGTTATCTGTGGACTGTAGGAAAGGTAAACCCCGAGCTTGTGGTGACCAAACAAGGGTTGTGGTGGTCGCTCAGGTGGATATAATTTAGAAAGTCATTGCAGCAAGTGCCTGAAAAATCCCGCTGATTTTATTCCCAGCTGCAGCAGCCTTGGGAAAAGCATCCTCCGAGCAGGGACAGAGGCCCAGGATGCTGTTTGTGGCAGTCCTGGCCCGCTGCCAGAGGTCCCTGGGACTGCAAGCCCTGCCTGGAGTCTCCTCACCACTTCCCACATGGATAACAGCTCCACTGCCACCATCTCCACCCCACCCCAAGCCGGGGAAGGTCCTTCCATCTGCCCCGATCCCAGCGACCCCACAGACACCAACTGGGGTAAGGAGGGGACTGGGCTTGGTTGGCAAGAACTGAGCAGGGATTTTCACCTCAGACTGCTCCCCTGGGAGGTGAAATCCCACCTGGGAGGTGATTTTCCTGGGGGGTGAAATCCCACTGATTATTTTTTTTCCTGGGAAGGGAAATCAAAGGGATTTTTCTGGTTTTTTTTTCCCAGGCTCTCTCTCCCTTCTCCTGCTCTGTCTGATCCTGCTCGTGGTGAGTGGAATATCCATTCTCCTGCTGATTATCCAAGCAGCCAGAAAAGAGAACAAGGGGAGGCCTCGTGGAAGCAACAATCAGAGTGAGTTTCTTTTCAGGGAGGGAAAAACATACGGGGGAAAAAGAACAATCAGGCCCCCTCTACTGGAAAATTCATAAGTAATCATTCTAAAACCTGCCTGGCTGAGTGGAAAGTGTCACCTGCAGAGGTTTTAGCCCCTGTTTGGTCCTGAGGGATGGAGGTCACAGTGTTTTAAAACCTCTGTCTGTTTTTTCCCCCCTTCCAGTTTTCCTGCAGGGAATTCTCTTCAGCACAGGCAGGATCCAGAATGGATTTTTTTTAAAGAGTAAAATGGGAATTTTTTTTTTTTTTGCCCAGGTAGAAGGGAAGTGTCCTGATGGGTCTCCTGCAAACACAGGGAAGGTGTGACTGAGAAGGGACGAATTTGATATTCAGAATTAATAACCCAGAGCTGCCTTAGGTTCCATCCCCAGATCCAGGGCAAAGTGTGTCCTCCCTGATCCCTACACTGGTGTTTTCCAGCACCAAATGTCACTCCTTTTATGATCATCCACAAAACCAGACAAGTCCCTGCCTTCCCTTTTCCTGCCCCTTCCACTCTACAGTATTTATTTTTATTTGGTATTTATTTTTTTAGTATTTATTTTTATTTAGTATTTATTTTTATGTAGTATTTATTTTTATGTAGCATTCATTTCTATTTGGTATTTATTTAGGATTTATTTTTATTTAGTTATTATTTATTACTTATTTAGTATTTATTTTATTTAGCATTTATTTTCTATTTTTATTTTTATTTAGCAATTTTTTTTATTTGGGTTTTTATTCAGTATTTTTATTTAGTATTTCTTTATATTTAAAATTTTTTTTGTCTTTTTATTTAGTACTTTTATTTAGCATTTATTTTTATTCCCTCTTCCTTTTGATTCCATATTCATTTCTATAACTGTCTCCCAGAGGACAGGAGCTGTCGAATTCCTATCCAGGAGGAACAGGTGGACTCCAATTCCAGCCTCATCAAGAACTGACTCCCCATCCTTTGCTGTCTCCTGCATTTCTGAGCCCGTGGGTTGGTCCAGGGGATGTGCCTGTTCTGTGGCTGTGTGGAGGTGTTTCATGGTGGAGGTGTTTAACTGTGGGATTATTTAATTGTGGAGCTGTTTAATTGTGGGATTATTTCATTGTGCAGCTGTTTAATTCCAAACTGAGCACACTGTCAGTGGAACCCCCACCCAGACCAGAGCAGTGCCCTCCATCCCTGCCACTAAACCTCCCCACCTGGTGTGAATTGACCCTCATTTCTCTGAGGTTCTCCCCCCAGGTGAAGCAGCCTGGAGTTAAACAGCAAGTTCAAAAATCATAAAAAAATCTGGGAGGAACTTGGAGTGTTGGTGGGAGCAGCTCTGGGTGTGTCTGAGAGGCCTCAGTGGGAAGGTTCAAGAGGCAGCAGAGCTGAGAGTGCCACAGTTCAGAAGGGGTTTGCACTTCAGGTGCGTCTCCTCCGTAGACAATCCCTCAGAAATGGGACTTGGGATCCGCAGCACCCAAGCAGGTGCCAGGAGAGGCAGCAGAAAATGTATTCAAAAGAATACCAGGGGTATTTAGACATAAATTTCCTTATATGTTATACATATGGTGGACTTTAGCAAGGGGTTTCCTGTGTGCAAGTGCATATACAGTGTATAGAAACTTTTGTATTGTATACAAAGAGGGGCACCTGTGGGAAATAAAGGCGTGGTCGCAGCTCTGCAGGGCGTGTGGTGTGTGGGATTGGGAGCAAAGAATTCCTGTGGGAAGCAGGGTTAAACTGGAGCAGAGGGGACTGAGGGGAGGGTGTGAGCAGGGACAGGACCCCAGGAGTGCCCTGAAGTTGTGTTGGGGGAGGTTTAGGGTGGATCTCAGCACAAGGTTCTTCCCCCAGAGGGTGGTTGGGCACTGAACAGGCTCCCCAGGGTTTGGTCACGACCCTGAGGCTGTCAGAGCTCCAGGAGGGTTTGGACAAGGCTCTGAGGGACAGGGTGGGATTGTTGGGTGTCCCTGGGTGATTTGTGATCACCAAGTGATCAGCCACAGCTTCGAGTTCTCTCCTTGCATCGTCCTTGGCTTCCTCTGCAGTGTTTGCCCTGCAAGCCTGGCCTGGCACCAGCTCTGACCACAGGGGTCATGGGGGGATGGCTCAGCCCCTCCACAAGAGCCCTGGAGAGGTCTCTGAACGTGCCCCGTGGCCCTGCAGGGGGTGGGGTGGCAGGGGTGGCCGTGGGGGACCGCGAGGAGGGATTCCAGGGAACACCCCCCGCGGGTTCTCCGAAGATGAGCATCAGCCCGTGGGCAGCAGCTCGTGGGGCCCACGGGGCAGGGACCACGTTTCCCTGGAAGTGAGTAAGGTGCTGATAACTCCTGAGCCGCGTGGGGCTGTGGGTTATGAGAAGGGCAACCCACAGGAACACACCACAGAGCTGCTGGTGTGGCAGAGGCGCTGCTGTCCCCCCCGCCTCCCGTCCTGTGGGCTCATCAGCTGCTTCCAGGAATCCCCCTCCGTTTCCTGCCTCAGCTACACACGAAGGTGCCCCAGCACAGAGTGTTCTTGTGCCTTCCTGCAGCCTCCCCCAGCCAGAGATTCCCCAAAAACCTTTCTACCTGGAGAAAAGAACAGATGCTGGCCCTGCTGGGGGAGCTGAGGACGAGCTGCCTTTGCTCCTCTGGACAGACAATCCCTGCCCTAGAGCTGGATCCCATCCCTGTGCTGTGCAATCCCGTCAAAAAACTTAATATTTGATGGGATTGAAGGCATTTACAGGGAGCCCTGTTGGAAGGAGGTTGGAATGAGATTGTCTTTCTGCTCCCTTCCAAGCCGAAGCAGTCTGGGATCTGGGACTGGATTTGCTGAGGATTTGGGTGCCGGTGGGTTGCCAGTTTAACTAAAACAACACAGATATTTCCCTGGAAGTGGAGGAGCAGCAATTTTTATTTTTAATTGCCATTGTCACTCTTCTGTGAAAAGCTTGCTTGGATTTTTTTTGGTCCAGTCCTCCCTAAAAATGCCAGGAAGTGGCTGCACACGGGCAGAGAGAGGTGAATGATTTGGTGCTGCCTCTGCCCACGCTCGTCTTCCCACTGCCAGAAATGAAACTTTCCCTTCTCAGAGGTGCAGGCCTTGTCGCCAAGTGAGTTCCTGTTTTTCAACCTTTCAGATTTCCCCTTTTTTTCAGGCACTCGAGAGACACTTGAGCTTTTTTCACCCCAGTCTGAGCTGGTAACGCTGGGCTGGGCTGCTTTGTGCCTGAATGTTGCCACTAAAACTTGGCCTCCTGATGGTTTTAAGAACCATCTGTAAAAGTGACTGATAACTGTATTTCTGAGTGAGAATAATGCCATTTTTTCCCGTGGATAATTCCACTTCCTTTCAGCTGCACTACCCACGAGTTACAGCCCCTTCCATTGTTTATGGATTGCTACCAAAAACCCAGGAGGAAAACCAAACAAAACCTGAAGTCCTCTTTTCTTTCTACCCACAGTATTTTTTTCTCTCTGCCTGGAGTTTTATCAAAAATATTTGTTTAAAATTAGGGTTTGGGTTTTTTTTTCCCTTCCCATTATTGCAGTGCTGCCTTCAGCTTTGGAGGGGGACTGGGGCAAGAACAGACAGCAGCCATTCAGTTTTGGAGAAGGATTTGAGGCAAGAACAGACAATATTTGAGAGCCACACTGGAAAAAATGAGCTGGGTCTTGCAGCTCTTGAAACCTCCTCTCAGACTTGGCAGTTCCAGACGTGTTTCATTTTACAGTAGTGATTACAATTATTTTTAAAAATACCTGAAAACCCCTCCTAGATCTGTAACTTTATCCTTTATCTCCCTCCCTTTTCTCTTCACAACCTCCCCCTGCTTCAGAGGAGCCTCGACATGACTCAGGTTTGCCATGAGAGACCTCAGAAAGGTCAGACAGACACCAGAGCTGAGATAGGGAGGAGAACAAAAGGCCTGGCTGGGGTTTTTTGTTTGTTTGTTTGTTTTCTTTTTTCTTTTCTTTTTTTTTTTTTTTTCCCCTCTGTCTGGTTTAGTTTCCCTCTGGGAATTCAGCTTTGTTACTCCCTGGGCTCATCCACCACTTTTGGAACCCAGAGAGGCGACCCCTTGCACAGGTGACCTTGCTGAGCAGGTCCCTTGGGAAGGATCCAGGGGGTCCCTGTAAAGCCCTGAGGGGTTTGGGGTGAGGCTTTAACTCGTTTTATGACCCCACCAGGGTTGTGTCACCGTTGATCTCACCTGGGCCAGGTGAGATCCTCCCTTGTGGGACAAATCAGGCACTGCAAGAAGAACTCAAGGTCTGGCAGCCCCCAGTCCTGTCACTTCAAAGCCTCCAGGTTGGCCTAAAAGCAGAACTTCTAGGAAAAAAAAAAGGAAGGAACACAACAATTTTATCTCCTGCTTTCAGGCAGCAGACAAATCATGTGCCCTCCAGCTTTTTTTTTTTTTTTTCACCCCTAAATCTTTGGCTGACACTGGGTGAGCTGGCACTGCTGGACGTGAATCCTGCAGGTATTCCCCGAGTTTTCCACTCGATGAGCTGGAGCTCACAAGGCAGTTTGGGCCCAACAGAGCTCATTAGTCATTCAGCAATTACGCAGATTTCACGTGAAGAGCCTCTTACAGGAGAACTGGAGGCTTTGCTTGGGTCATCCATGATGGGTAATCAGCAAAAACTCAGCGCCAGGAAACCAAATATTCTCTCTGGTGACAAAGTTCTCTCACTGCTGACGTGAAAGTCAAGCGGTGTCAGTAAAGCTGCTGAAGTCCCAAGAATTAATTTGGGGTTGAGAAGCGATTTGTGCTGAGTTTTTATTTTGGTTTTCTTTTAGTTTGGGGGGGGGGGGGGGGGGGGGGTTTCTTGCCCCTCAGAAAAGATGAGTCATTTGGACAGGTCAGCAACTCGTGGCTCCAGGGGCCAAAGAGGAAACCTGGAGTGTTTTCAGTGGGTTTAGCTCACAGCTGGATGTCCTGAAGGTGGGCAAAAGCAGAATTCACAGCCAGCTCATGGAATCACAGAACCACTGGGGTTGGAAAAGACCTCCAGGGTCATTGATTCCAAATTCTGACCCATCCCCACCCTGTCCCCCAGCCCAGAGCACTGAGGGCCACGTCCAGCCCAGCCCTTTCCTTGGACACCTCCGGGGGTGGGGACTCCAAACCTCCCTGGACAATGCTTGGCCACCTTTTCCATGAAGAAATTCCTCCTGATGTCCAACCTGACCCTCCCCTGGCACAGCATTTTCCCTGTTCCATCACAACGTGCACTGATGTGTCAGCCTCAGTTTGCCCTGAGCCAGGTAGGGGATGGACAGGGGGGGGCTGGAACTGAGTCCTTTCCCCTGTGGAGGTCGGGGTGGGAAGTGGACCCCTGATTTTGGGGTCTCTGAAGGGGCTGACAGCTGAAATGTCACCTTCCAGCAGACACAGGTAAGAGCTGGCTTTAAAAAAGAAAAACCAAAGATTCTAAGGCCAGATAGTCAGGTTACCTCTGAAAGGTCACTGCTGACTCTGGAGGTTTAGACTTGGCTCAAGCAACCGTTGTCTGTGATCTGACTGTAAATGTTCCACCATCTGACATATCTGTGCCCGACTGTAATGCTTGAACAAGAGTGAAAAACATGTACAGAGCAATTTTGGGGGGGGGGGGGGGAAACAAAAAAAAAACCCCCAAACCCCAACAGTCAAAAGAGAGAGAAATAAATAAATGATCAGTTCCTGCTCTGATAAACACCAGGTGCCACCTGGGCCAACTGCCAACTGCAGAGCCCTCACCAGGAGAGGGGTCCCCTTGGGTCCCACCTGCCCAGGGGACCAGTGGGGCCCTCAGAGGTCCCTTCTCTGTTGTTCCCTGGGTGACACTGGGCTAAAAAATTCTGATTCATGTTGCTCTTGGGTATTTAGGCCTTGCTGGTGGTGGTTGTTTGCTGCTGAGCTCCCCTGGTACCACCAGCCTGCCCTTGTCTCTTCTGGTGGACAGAGGGAAAGGCTGGGAGAGTTGGGATTGTTCAGCCTGGAGAGGAGAAGCTTTGGGGTGACCTGACTGTGGCCTTCCAGTGCCTGAAGGGAGCTGACAGGAGACAGAGGTTATTTCCAAGGGTCTGGAGTGCCAGGATAAGGGGGAATGGCTTCAAACTGACAGAGGGGAGGTTTAGAATCGTAGATTGGATGTTAGGAAGAAATTCTTGGCTGTGAGGGATGGAATTCCCAGAGGAGCTGTGGCTGCCCCATCCCTGAAAGTGTCCAAGGCCAGGTTGGATGGGGCTTGGAGCAACCTGGGCTGGTGGAAGGTGTCCCTGCCCATGGCAGGGGGTGGCACTGGATGATCTTCAAGGTCCCTTTTAACCCAAACACTCCACGATTCCACGAATGAAACAACCTGGCTGGACCAAATCCACCCAAGGACTCAACCTGCTTTAATTCCCAGCGGTACATCCACCTGCAAACCCCCTGGAGAGAAAATCGGGGTGCACCTTGCCCTCCACCTGCTCCTCTCCCCCCTGGAGTCCCTGGTGCTGCTCAGCCCTGCCGGTGACGCAGATAAAACCATTTCCCCGCCCCTCCCAAAAGCAGGAAGAGCGAGGCCACAAAAAGCCCAGCACCTGCTGCAGCGCCAGAGGAAGGAGCCCTCAGGCAGGACAGCCCCGACACTTTTGGGTTTTGGGTTTGTCCGCTCCAGACACGACCCCCTGGATGAGGGAATTCGGGTCCCTTGGCTCCCCGGCCCTCCTGCTGCCGGTGCTGTGCCTGGGGCTCTGGGCACAGCAGAGCTTGGCACTGCAGTGCCGGGATGGGGAGAGGAAAATCATCAGCAAAGATGCAGAGAAATGCTGCCCCAAATGCAACTTTGGAGCAGGTAAGGAAAAGGGGTGTGGGGGGGGTGTGGTGTCCTCTTTGTCAGGGGTGGTTTGTTTGTGTCTTGAGCAGCTGGATGGGCAGAGTAAACTGAGAAGAGTTTCCTCTGAGCCCTAAATTCAGGATGAGCCTTGGATCCTCACCATGGTAGCTCTGGTGACCAGTGGCAGGACTCAGGGAGCAGCTGGAGCTGTGCCAGGGCAGGGTCAGGTTGGATCTCAGGCCGAGGTTCTTCTCCCAGAGGGTGGTTGGGCACAGGACAGGTTGCCCAGGGTGGTGGCCACTCACCTGTGCTCATCCCTCAATCCACATCTCAGGTGATCACTGGTTCTCACCTGTGTTCTTGCCTGATCTCAGGGTGGTGATGCATATAGAGGGCAGGGTTAGGTGGGATATTGGGAAGGAATCCTTCCCTGGGAGGGTGGGGAGGTCCTGGCATGGGTTGTGCTGTGGCTGCCCCATCCCTGGGAGCGTCCAAGGCCAGGCTGGAGCAACCTGGGCTGGTGGAAAGTGGTGGAACAAGATGATCTTCACAGTCCCTCCCAACCCAACCCACCGTGTGTGCCCCTGATTGTGACTCCCCTGGCATTTTAAGTGGAATTAAGGCAGCAGCAGAGGGTTCTCCTGGCCCCTCCCACGGTCCCAGGGGCAATCATTCTGCTCTTCAGTGCCATCCCTCAAGGCAGCCAGAGCTGAACAAGGTATGACTGTCAGAAAGAATCATCCCCAGGCTGTTTCCACTCCCTGCACACTCGGTGGAGTTCTGAAGGTCAGTGAGGGGAGGGCAGCAAGCACAGGAAGGTGTGGGCAGCCCCTTGGTGATCCTGTACGTTCCACCCCCAATCTCAGGAAATAATCTTCGCCGCTCTCTGTGGCTTTCTAACCCCACCACTGAACCAAGGCAGCATTTCCACGCAGATTTTTTTCCTTTAACATCACACAGCTTCAGGATTCACGACAAAACTGATGACAAAACTCATTTTCCCCACATTGTCAGCCCGCTGATGGGAACCTGTGGGCTCTGTGGCAAGTCCAAACTCACTCTTTTTTTTTTTTTTTTTTTGGCAGGAGGCAACAATCCATGCCAAGGCATTAAGGACCACGACTGCAGGTGTCCCCAGGGCCACAGATGTGGTGATGAGAACTGCCAGTACTGCAGGAGGGTGCCAGAGTGTGCTGAGGGAGAGGAGCTCACCAGGATTGGTAACTGCACCAAGGCAGAACTCACTGCAAGGGTCTGCCTGAGCCTGGGAATGGCACTGCCCTCTCCCACTTCCTTGGGTAGAATATGTGTAAAAAAGCCTTGTTAGGCTTTTAATAGAATTAATATAATATAATATAAAAATATAATATATAATATGTATTTATATATAGATAATATTCCTAAATATGCTTATTAAGCTCCCCTGGTTTGGGGAGGCTCAGACAAAAGTGACATTTCTGCTGTGGCCCCTGTGCCAAACCCCCTTCCCATCCTAAATGTCAGACTCTCACTCGTGTGCTCAGACTTCCAGGGCTACTTTCCTGCCTGGAACAGCCCAGAAGAGCCTGTTTTAGTCTGTGGGGGCTCTAAACTGCCCTCCCTGAGCTGTCCCATCAGGCTCTCTGCACCTCTGCTCTCCAAAAAGGGGCCAGAGCTGCTGAGGAGCCTCTCCAGGGGCTGATTTGTGACACAGAGGGAATTCCTCGTGCTCTAATCCGTGTTTTTTCCACCTCTCCATCCAGGCTCTAACCCTTCACATTCTCTTTTCTTGCAGGAGAAACAGATTTCGTATTCAAATGCAAACCCTGTGGGACGGGAACTTACTCTGATGTGAAGAATGGCTGGTGTAGGAACTGGACAGAGTATGGATTTATTGACATTTCCCTGCTTGGAAAATAGGCTTTCAAATTATTATTATTATTATTATTGTTATTGTTATTATTATTATTATTATTATTATATTACAATAATAATATTATAATAAATTACCATTACTTTATATTTTAAATAAAATTTAAATACAATTTAAATATTTAATACTCAACAATTCAAATAATTACATATTATTATACATAATTTTATAGATTTAATATTTTGTATCATTTAAGATCTTATATATAATGTTAATATTATGTGTAACTTAATGTTTAATATAAATAAGTTAATTCTGTATATAATTTAATATTTAGTAATTGGAAAGTAAAACCGAATCAAAGACGAGACCACCCATGAGATTAACTGATGAGCTTTTTAAATTAATCAAGACATGTCTCTTCAGCCTTTATAGTCAGTCTCAAAGCAGAACTTCAGACAAACTGCTGTGTTTTCAACTTGCTCCCAAGTCCAGCTCGAACTGAGGGAAAGATTATTCCAATCAGGGACATCCCTGGAAAGAAAGAGAGTAAAGAAAATGGGCCCCTAAAGAAGTTGTGAGGTGGCATTTTCTGGGGGAACAGCAACAACTTCACCTGCCCTGCTGTAAAAGGGGATTAAAGGAAATGAGTAAAAGAAGATGAAAGGAAAGGGAAGGGAAGAGAGGAATGAAGGGAAAACAGGGATGTTCTGAAAGTGCCTCTGGTCCTTCCTGCAGCTGTGAGAGATCCGGGTTTGTGACCCTCAGCCGAGGCAACAGCACCCACAACTCCAAGTGTGGCTTCCCTCCTTCTGCTGGAGATGTGGAGCAAGGTACCTTCTCCCCCCGAATTTCCCCCCTCTGAGAATTCCTCGGCAACTTTTCCCTGCGTTTCTCCAGAGGGATTTGCTGCCTCTTTATCCCTCCAGGCCTTGGGGGGAACGGGAATTTGGGGAATTCTACCTGTGTTCCCTGGAACCTTAACACGGGTTGGAATTGTTGATGTGGGCAAAGATCCAAAGCTCTGCCAGTAACCCAGGTAGAGAAAAGCCCAGTGGTCCTTGGATGGAGCACATTTATTTGGCAGATTATGAGTTTTCCACTGAAATGTTGGGTTTTCTTAGGAAGACCATGGCTTGGTTCCCTTGGCTGAGCCCACGGCACCCAGAACTGGACTTCCAGGTCTTACCGTGGATCAAACTGCAGGGTTTGGGGGTCCTGAGCACCTCACAGACACCCAACTCCTCTGCTCCTGCCCTTTCCCAGCCCCTTGTCCCTGCAGGGAATTGGTGCCTTTTGGATCTGGGCCCATTATCCAAAAATATTCCCAGTTCTGCGGAGAGAAACTGCAAACACGCTGCTGATTTCAGCTCCTGTGAGGAAAAAACAGGGGGGGAAATCTGGCTTGGTGAGATGCTGGGCAGGACACAGTGAACCCAAATCCTTCAAAAAAAAAACAAACAGAAGAGACAGAACAAGTGGGAGAGACCTTGGACAAGGAGGAGATGAGACAGGAGGGGTTTGCATGAAGGGTTCTCACAGTGACCTCTGGGGTTCCCTTCCAACCAACACATTCTTCTATTTCTATTTCTATTTCTATTTCTATTTCTATTTCTATTTCTATTTCTATTTCTATTTCTATTTCTATTTCTATTTCTATTTCTAATTTCTATTTCTACTTCTATTTTCTATTTCTACTTCTAATTTCTCTTTCCATTTCTTTATCTATTTCCTTTTCCCTTTCCCTTTCCCTTTCCCTTTCCCTTTCCCTTTCCCTTTCCCTTTCCCTTTCCCTTTCCCTTTCCCTTTCCCTTTCCTTTTTCTTCCTTTTGTTTTTTCAGTCCCTTTCCTTATTTCTTTCCCTTTCCCCCTTTCATTTCTCCTTTCTCCCTTTCTTCATTATTCCATCGCACCCTTGACTTGGAACCCGCGCTCTTTCCTTGGGAAATTATCCCTCCCCCCCGAAAAACCAAATCAATCCCTGAATTTCCTTGAAATACCTTTCATTTAACGACACTCTGGGCACATAACCCCTTAATTCTGATTAAATCTCTTTAATTGCAGCTGCCCTCCCCCCCAGCTCCCTGTCCACCACCATCCTGGCCATCCTGACGGCCGTGGCCGTGTTCGTGCTCATCCTGCTCACCTTCCTCCTGCACTTCTGCATCTGGACACTGAAGGGCAAATATTTCGTAGCTGATGGTAAGGGCACCCCCAGGGGCTCTTCAGGAGGCTGAGTGGGGTATAAATGGAGCTGGGTAAATGGGATTAACACGGATTCACCCAGCGGTTTTGGGCGCGTCGCTGAGTTTCCCTCAGAACGGTTGGGGTGGGAAAAGGGATCATCCAGTCCGACCTCACTGACAGAGGGCAGGGTGAGATGGGATATTGGGGAAAAAAAAAAAAAATCCTTTCCCTGGGAGGGTGGTGAGACCCTGGAATGGATTGCCCAGGGGATTCCCCACCTCTGGAAGCATCCCAGGCCAGCTCGGAGCAACCCGCTCCAACGGAAGGCGCGGAGCGGCTTTAACGCCCTTTCCGCCCCAAACCGCCCCTCGATTCCACCCCTCTGTGTCCTCCCCTCGCGTTGGGGACCCTCCTGGAGGCGTGTGGAGACTCCTGTGTGTGCAGATTGCTGTCCTTGCTCTCACTGCAGACGTGGACCATCACTCCCCTAGGCCGGTGGCGGCGGCGGCTCCGCAGCTCCTGCCCCAGGGGGACGAGAGCCACAGCATCCAGTTCCCCGAGGAGGAGCACGGCGACAAGGCAGCCCAGGAGAAGCTTTCCATGCTGTCCCTCAAAGTCTCCAACGAGATCAGCTAAACCTCAGGCAGCTGTGGCAAGCTGAGCTCGCCAGAAGGAAAGGAAGAAGGAATGGGATGGGATGGGATGGGATGGGGAGGGTGAAGCATCGGGGAAAAACCTGCTCGTTGAGGCTGGCATTCATTCCTGAGGGCATCTCCCAGCTTTCCCAGGCTCTCCCTTTTCCACAGTGAGTCCTCACACCCATATGAAGGGATTGAGGCACAGGGATAAGGAGTGTTCCTATTCCCTTAACGCTGACAGTGCTTTTCCCTCCTGCCAAACTGCCTTCCCGATGTTCCTCTGACCCCATCCCACCCTCTCCTCCTCTGCCATCCCAGCACGAGGTGCTGCTCAGGCCCAGCTTCAGGGCATGGAAATTCCCTTGGGAAGCCACAGGATTTGAAGGGAAACCAGGGATAACAGAAGGGAGCAATGCTTGTTCTCCTGCCCCCACTCCCAGCAATCCCTGTGCCTGGAATATTTGGCTTACAAAAGGGACTCCTCCAAACAGCTCAAATGAGGCCCAACGTTGGGTTAATGAGTTTATAGAGCAGGAAAAGACAGTGGAAAACAGGGAAAAGCCCAAGATTGATGTATTTTTTTATTTTTTCCCTACCCCTGAAGAAAAAGAACCAGAGCTTTTTTTTCTTTTTTTTTTTCTTTTTTTTTTTTTTTTTTTTTTTTTTTTTTTTTTTTTTTTTTTTTTTTTTTTTTTTTTTTTTTTTTTTTTTTTTTTTTTTTTTTTTTTTTTTTTTTTTAAATGTTAGATTAGTGCTCCTCCCATTTCCTCGAGCTGGAAATGAATTGTTCTGCCTGAATTTCAAGGCAAAAACCGACTCTTTCGAGTTTCAAAAGTGACTTTTCACCATCAAAAAAAAAAAACTTTTCAGCCTTCCCCACGAGGGGTATAAATTCTTCCCAGCACAGCCCCAACATCAGCTACCTCCTTGTAGATCATGTAAACAGGACAGGCCTTCTTAATTAAATCCTGGCAGATAATGAAATTGCTGTTAATCACCCCAGAGGGGATTATTCCAAGTAGGAATGACAGGCTGGGGTCAGCAGGGCTCTGTGGGATTGCTGCAGGAGCTCCAGAGATGTGGTGGAACCACTTGGGGAACTGAAAGGACTGTGAGGGGAAAATGAAGTGTAAAAGGTTATAAAAATGAGGTGTGGAAAGTTATTCCCTATAAAGTTCCTGCCCTGTCCCAGCTTTAATCTCCCACCTTCCCTGTGATTGTTGATTTTGACTGACATGTGGAATGGGACCAGGGATATTTCTCAACCCTAAAAGGATGTCCTGAGACAATAATTAACACTTCCAATGTATTTTTTGCCTTCTTTGATCCTCTTGTGTTCCTGACAAATTTTCCTTGTGCGAAAATCACTTTAAAAATGACTTTTTTTTCCCTCCACCTTTGCAGTGGGAAACGTGCAGACTCTGGAGGTGAACTGGGATAACTAATATAGGATAACTTTGATTTTAGAAAGTTGTAAAGTCTCTCTCTGCCCC